CGGGTCACCCCTGGCTGAAGCACAGAAGGGGCAGACGGGGCCGGTTTGGGGGGGCTGGAGCCCCCCGCCAGGATCACATCTCGGGATGTTCCCAAGCAAGAAGCAGGCAGCCGGGAGCAGGCAGCCCTCGCCAGCCTCACGCTCCCGGGGAGGGCAGGTGGCTGCCAGAGCGCAGCGGGACACCCCAAGCGGGACACCCCACGCAGACACCGGAGTCCCGACGGCTCCGGGAGGAACCAGCCAGAGCGGGTGGGATGCAGAGAAGGATCCGGTCCTTGCCATGGGTGCCGCCAGGCCAGCACCCCCGGGGCGGCTCGGAGGGGTGGCTGAGCGTCGCAGCGTGGGCATTTTACACCCCGTGGTTCTTAAAACGGACGGCTCGGCAGCTCCCTGCAGAGACCGTACCCGCCCGGAGCTGCCTGCATGGGCAGAAACCTCCTTCCCCAGAGCAGCGCGGGGCTCAGCTCCGCTGCACGCTGCCGGCCTTGCCCGCAGAGCCCTCCCCGCCGCGCACCCCTGCCAGCACCCGCACCCCGAGGCGCTGGTCACCGGCACCCGACAGCCTCACCGCCGGTCTGATCACTCCGTGCAGGGGGCAAGAGGATTTACCAGAATGTTACAGGTCATGGGGGAAGAGTCTGGGAACTCAAAATCCGAGCGGCAAAAGCCTTTAGAGACAGGATAATCCTGTTTTGTGCCACAGACCAAGAACGGAGGAGTTCCAGGACAGAGGAAACTGGGATGGGGGACACCGGGTGGCCGTCCGGTGCCCGGGACAGGAGCCCGGCGCTGCCTGCAGCTCCCCCGGCCCCATCTCCCACCTCCTGGCGCGGCCCCGGAGGCGGATGCCGCGAGATGGCACTGCCACTCCGTGCCTCCGCTGGGGACATGCCCACGCGGGTGGCTGGACCCACGCCAGCCCCCCAGGGCACCCTGCGAGCGCTACGCCGGGCTCCGGGGGAACGTGCAGAACAAGGGTCTGTCTGAGAGCCTGTCCCAGCACCTCTGAGCACCGAGCGCCTCGGACAGAGGGGGAGGCCGCGGGGTCTCCAGTGGAAGAAGGCTGCAAAGCTCTAGTTTGATCCATCCGGGATTCCCACCAAGGCCCAGGTACTTTTAAGAGCATGGAAGGAACATCAGGAAATGGATGGGCACGCTACAAACAAACATACTTTTTCACAGGGCACAGCTAAAGGATCTGTCACCCCTCCTCAGGGTGCTGTGGATGCTGAAATTTTACACGATTCAAAAAGCAGTCTGAAAAATCTGTAACCGTAAAAGCTCTTCAGCACAGACTCGGTAGCCCCAGCCAGCGCTTGCCGGAGGGCAGGAGCGTGCCCGGAGAAGGCTCAAAGCTTCGTCCTGCCTTGCTGGCACATGCCAGCACCAAGGGGCAACCGGGCGGCCCCGGTTTTGTCCTGGGGTTTGTCCTGGGCCGCACACCTACCTACGACGGTGAGCACGTCCTTCTCGATGTCAGCCCTGATGTATATCCGTCCCCGACGCTCGGTGTGGTCCGTCCCGCACAGGCTGGGGACGTTCATCACGCAGCGCTTGTGCACGTTCATCATACAGGCTGCGGGGTGGAGAGACAGGAAGGGATGCTCAGCACCGCCGGCCCCTCTGCCAAAGCTCAGGGGGTGTCCAGAGGGGCTGAGGGGGGAAGGATTTGTCCTCCTTTTAAGGGGGGGGATGTTTGTGAGGGATTCTGGGATAAACATGCAGCAAATGGACCCTCAAATGCAGCCGGAGGCTCTGGCAGAGCCCTGCCCGGACACGGGGACCCACCACCCCGGCAGTTTTGGGTCTTTACAGGGCCTTCAGCCCTCACTCGAATTGCTTGAGTTTTGCTGATTTATCCAACTTCTCTCCCGTCACACCCGTGGTGCAACGCTGGATTCCCCAGGAGCTGATAAGGGGCATTAAAAATGACCCGCGTATGTGTGGGCATAGATACACATATAAAAAATTTATATAATAAAATATATAAATATATATATAAAAATTTATATTGTAAAGAAATTCATTTCCACTTGCTAACATTTTAAAGGTGATAATGAATACACTGTTCCCACAACAGTCAGCAAGCTTCTATATTTATGAGCAAGGCAGCACATGGCGAGCAGCAGAGTTTGCTGTTCCCGCAGACCGCGCTGGGTATTCACAGTCCTTTTAAATAGGAACGTACAAGATTAACTCGGAAAATAACTGATCCCTCTCTGCCTCCTCTCCCTCTCCTTTCATCCTCCATTTTCCGCGCTCTGTACAGTAATTCCCCGGGCCCTGCTGTGCCCGAGGTGAGGCTCGTGCAGACCCGAGCGCTCAGCAGAGCCTGAGCCACCGCAGCAGCCCCCGCCGCGGCCACGGGGTGTCAGTCGGAGCCGGCGCTGCGGAGAACCGGGAACGGAGGAGATGCTGGGGGGGTGAGGGAGACACTGGGGGGGACGAGGGAGATGCTGA